GGCTCCAGCCCCATCACTAACACTGCCCCCCTAGCTCCTGCTCCCTGCTGGGCTCCTGGTAGCCAGGCTGCTGGCTCTGTGTGCCGCGGTGTCCGAGCCAGGCTGGCGCTGGGCCCTGGGGGCTCTGGTGTGACTGGTGGTAGGAGGCACTTCCCAGATACACGCGGTGCAGTCAGCACCTGCCTGCGCATGCTGCTGTGCTGGGCGCTGGCCCGCGGGCCCTGGCGCGGGGTAACCTCTCTAACTCTTGGTTTCTGCCCTTGGAGCCGCTTTGCCAGTGCTTTTTCTTGGGGAATATTTGTGTTGGTGGGGATCTAATGGAGGGTAAAAAACCAGGATGACTCTGGCAGCCGTGCACCAGGTACTCACTCTGCGCATGCCTTCTCCCCGCGGCACCCTCCGCCTCCCCCACGGCTCGCCCTCTCCTCCTCGCCCTCCTCTTCGTCTGTGCTGCTCCAGGACCAGGGGTCCGGTGTGGGTCTGGCTCCCCTGCATGCGCTGCCTGTGCCCGGGCCTCGCTCACGGTGCATGCGGCACGGCCCCAAGGCAGGCGCCAGCTGCGTTGGCCCCTTGGCACAGCCTGCTCCCAGCTGCCTGGAGAGGGCTGGCAGGGCTTAGAACCAGCTCAACTGCTCTCTCGTGTTGAGGCTTTCCCGGCAGGGCAGGCTCTGCCGGCACCGCCCTCGCACTGCTCCCCTCTGCTCTGCTCCGGCCGTCTCTCTCCTCTCCTGTCCTCTCCTCTCCTCTCCTTTGCCCACGGCAGGGGCTGTCTGTGCCAGCCCCCGGCACCTGGCAGGGGGAGCCATGGTGGTGATGCGCACGCTGCTCGCACCGTCGTCATCGCTTGGGCTCCGCTCGCTCTCTGTCCCTTCTCTCTGGAACGTGGCTTCCCGCGCTGCTGTCTGGCTCCTATTGCCTGTCTGCCTGTGCTCTCGTGTGTCCCCTGTCATGCCACACGTCTTCTGGAAGCTGGCCTCACCGGCTCGTGCCGTGGCCCAAAGGCCGAAGCCATTCCACGCGCATCTGCCGCCCCTCCGCCGTCTCGGCGGTGCGTGGCTGGGCCAGCATCGATTCCACGGCGCGATCGCATCCCTTGTGATTTGTCTCTCTCTCCCCTCTCTGTCCCCTGCACCCTCTTTCCCCTCCAGAAAGCCGCCGAGAAGCTGAAAGAGGAGGAGAGGAAGCGGCTGGCGGAGGTGGAGGCGCAGCTGGAGAAGCAGCGGCAGCTGGCCGAGGCCCACGCCAAAGCCAAGGCGCAGGCAGAGGCGGAGGCGCGGGAGCTGCAGCTCCGCATGCAGGAGGAGGTCACCCGGCGGGAGGTGGTGGCCGTGGATGCCGAGCAGCAGAAGCAGAACATCCAGCAGGAGCTGATGCAGCTGCGGCAGAACTCGGACCACCAGATCAAGGCCAAGGTGAAGCTGATCGAGGAGGCCGAGTACAACCGCAAGAAGGTGGAGGAGGAGATCCGCCTCATCCGCCTGCAGCTGGAGAGCACCGAGAAGCAGCGGGAGGGCGCCGAGACGGAGCTGCAGGAGCTGCGGGCGCGTGCCGAGGAGGCCGAGCGGCAGAAGCGGCAGGCGCAGGAGGAGGCCGAGCGCCTGCGCCGGCAGGTGAAGGAGGAGAGCCAGAAGAAGCGGGAGGCGGAGGAGGAGCTGAAGCGCAAGGTGCAGGCCGAGCGCGAAGCGGCGCGGGAGAAGCAGAAGGCGGTGGCAGACCTGGAGCAGCTGCGGCTGCAGGCGGAGGAGGCCGAGCGACGCATGCGGCAGGCAGAGGCCGAGAAGGACCGGCAGATCCAGGTGGCCCAGGAGGTGGCCCAGCGCAGCGCTGAGGCCGAGCTGCAGAGCAAGAGGCTCTCTTTCGCCGAGAAGACGGCGCAGCTGGAGCTGTCGCTGCAGCAGGAGCACGACGTGGTGGCCCAGCTGCAGGAGGAGGCCGAGCGGCTGAAGAGGCAGCAGCTGGAGGCCGAGCGCTCGCGGGAGGAGGCGGAGAAGGAGCTGGAGCGCTGGCGGCAGAAGGCCAACGAGGCGCTGCGCCTGCGGCTGCAGGCCGAAGAGGTGGCCCACAAGAAGTCGCTGGCGCAGGAGGAGGCCGAGAAGCAGAAGGAGGACGCGGAGCGCGAGGCCCGCAAGCGCGCCAAGGCAGAGGAGGCGGCCCTGCGGCAGAAGGAGCTGGCCGAGGAAGAGCTGGAGAAGCAGCGGGAGCTGGCAGAGGGCACGGCTCAGCAGAAGCTGGCGGCGGAGCAGGAGCTGATCCGGCTGAAGGCGGAGATGGATAACGGGGAGCAGCAGCGCCTGCTCCTGGAGGAAGAGCTCTCGCGGTTGAAGGGGGAGGTAAACGAGGCCATCCAGAGGAGGAAAGAGCTGGAGGAGGAGCTGGCCAAGCTGCGGGCAGAGATGGAGGTGCTGCTGGAGAGCAAGGCCAAGACAGAGGAGGAGTCGCGCTCCAGCAGCGAGAAGTCCAAGCAGCGGCTGGAGGCGGAGGCCAACAAGCTGCGGGAGCTGGCCGAGGAGGCCGCCCGCCTGCGCGCCCTCTCCGAGGAGGCCAAGCGGCAGCGGCAGCTGGCAGAGGACGAGGCCAGCCGGCAACGGGCCGAGGCCGAGCGCATCCTGAAGGAGAAGCTGGCGGCCATCAACGAGGCCTCACGGCTGAAGGCGGAGGCGGAGATCGCGCTGAAGGAGAAGGAGGCGGAGAACGAGCGGCTGCGGCGGCTGGCGGAGGACGAGGCCTACCAGCGCAAGCTGCTGGAGGAGCAGGCGGCCCAGCACAAGCAGGACATCGAGGAGAAGATCGCCCTGCTGAAGCGCTCCTCGGAGAGCGAGCTGGAGAGGCAGAAGGGCCTCGTGGAGGACACCCTGCGGCAGCGGCGCCAGGTGGAGGAGGAGATCCGCGCCCTCAAGGCCAGCTTCGAGAGGGCCTCGGCTGGCAAGAGCGAGCTGGAGCGGGAGCTGAACCGCATCCGCGGGGAGGCGGAGGAGGTGCAGCGCAGCCGGGAGCAGGCGGAGCAGGAGGCCGAGCGGCAGCGGGCGCTGGCGCTGGAGGAGGAGGGCCGGCGGCGCGAGGCCGAAGAGAAGGTGCAGGCCATCCTGGCGGCCGAGGAGGAGGCCGCGCGGCAGCGGCGGCTGGCCCTGGAGGAGGTGGAGCGGCTGCGGGCCATGGTGGAGGAGGCGCGGCGGCAGAAGGAGCTGGCGGAGAAGGAGTCGGAGCGGCAGATCCAGCTGGCGCGGGAGGCGGCGCAGAAGCGGATTGCGGCGGAGGAGAAGGCGCACCTGGCCGCCGTGCAGCAGAAGGAGCAGGAGCTGCTGCAGACGCGCCAGCAGGAGCAGAGCCTCCTGGACCGGCTGCGCGAGGAGGCCGAGCGGGCCCGGCGGGCGGCTGAGGAGGCCGAGTTTGCCCGGGGCAAGGCCGAGCAGGACGCCAGCTTGTCCCGGCAGCGCGTGGAGGAGGCTGAGCGGCTGAAGCAGCGGGCGGAGGAGGAGGCGCAGGCCAAGGCCCAGGCCCAGGCGGACGCAGAGAAGCTGCGGAAGGAGGCCGAGCTGGAGGCGGCGAAACGGGCGCAGGCGGAGCAGGCGGCCCTGCGGCAGAAGCAGCTGGCGGACGCCGAGATGGAGAAGCACAAGAAGTTCGCCGAGCAGACGCTGCGGCAGAAGGCGCAGGTGGAGCAGGAGCTGACCAAGGTGAAGTTACAGCTGGATGAGACAGACCACCAGAAGGGCATCCTGGACGAGGAGCTGCAGCGGCTGAAGGAGGAGGTGACAGACGCCGTCCGGCAGAAGGCCCAAGTGGAGGAGGAGCTCTTCAAGGTGCGGGTGCAGATGGAGGAGCTGGCCAAGCTGAAGAGCCGCATCGAGGAGGAGAACAAGGCGCTGATCCTCAAGGACAAGGACAACACGCAGAAGTTCCTGGCGGAGGAGGCAGAGAAGATGAAGCAGGTGGCAGAGGAGGTGGCCCGGCTGAGCGTGGAGGCGCAGGAGGCCGCCCGCATGCGGCAGCTGGCCGAGGACGACCTGGCGCAGCAGCGCGCGCTGGCCGAGAAGATGCTGAAGGAGAAGATGCAGGCGGTGCAGGAGGCCACGCGGCTGCGGGCGGAGGCTGAAATGCTGCAGAAGCAGAAGGATCTGGCGCAGGAACACGCCAAGAAGCTGCAGGAGGACAAGGAGCAGATGCAGCAGCGCCTGGCTGAGGAGACCGAGGGCTTCCAGAAGACGCTGGAGGCCGAGCGCCGGCGGCAGCTGGACATCACGGCTGAGGCCGAGCGCCTCAAGCTGCAGGTGGCCGAGATGAGCATGGCCCAGGCCAAGGCTGAGGAGGAAGCCAAGCGGTTCAAGAAGCAGGCGGAGGAGATCAGTGAGAGGCTGCATGAGACTGAGCTGGCCACGCAGGAGAAGATGACGATGGTGCACACCCTGGAGATCCAGCGGCACCAGAGCGATGAGGACGCGGAAAAGCTGCGCAAGGCCATCGCCGACCTGGAGAAGGAGAAGGAGAAGCTGAAGCAGGAGGCGGCGCTGCTGCAGCAGAAGGCAGAGGAGGTACTGGGCTGTGGGTCCCCCTTAGTGGTGGTGGTGGTGCACAGGGAGGTCGTCCCTCTTCCCAGCCAGCCCACACCATCCCTGGGCAGGTCCCCAAGGACCGGCACTGGGGATGGTGGGGCAGGACCCCCTGTGCAGGTCAGGGATGTGCGTAGAGCTGGGGGCAGTGGAGCAAACCCCTCAGGCAGCGTCGGAGCAGGACCCCGAACCCCTGGAGCCGTGGAGGTGGGATCCCCACCGCTCTTCCCCCCCCACCCCGTGGCACGTCCTGCCGTGTTCCTGTCTGTGCCCAGCTCCCACCCTTCGTGCCGGGGGCTCCCTTGTGTCCTTCCCCTGCTCATCCTGCCCCGTGTGGTGTGTGGCTCCCTAACCCCGGCTCTGCTCCTTAACTCCTACCTGATGTAGGGAGTGCGTGGGTGACTCTGTGCCTCCGTGGCACCCCTGCTGCCCGCCCCTCTGCCTCAGCCCACCCTCAGTCCCCCACTGCCCTCCTGGGTGTCTGACCGCACTGTTCTCTCTCCCGCCCCAGATGCAGGTGGCCCAGCAGGCTCAGCTCCGTCAGGAGACGCAGCTCCTCCAGCAGAGCTTCCTGACGGAGAAAGATGCCCTGCTGCAGAAGGAGAAGTTCATCGAGGAGGAGAAATCGAAGCTGGAGAAGCTCTTTAAGGATGAGGTGAACAAAGCCCAGAACCTGAAGGCAGAGCAGGAGCGGCAGCAGCAGGAGATGGAGCGGGAGAAGCAGCAGTTGAAAGCTATGTTAGACGAAGCCAAGAAGCACCAGAAGGAAGCTGAGGAAAACGTCCGGCACAAGCAGGAGGAGCTGCAGCAGCTGGAGAGGCAGCGACAGCAGCAGGAGAAACTTCTGGAAGAAGAGAACAAGAAGCTGAGGGAGAGGCTGGAGCAGATGCAGGAGGAGTACAAGGCTGCCCTGGCCCAGAGACGGGAGATCATGATCCAGACAGACGACCTGCCCGGGGAGGCGGTTACGACAACGCAGCTGCTGGACATCAAGGCTGTGCCCAACGGCCGGGATGCAGTGGACGGCTTAGCCCAGAACGGGGAGCCGGAGTTCGCCTTTGACGGCATCCGGCAGAAGGTGTCAGCAGAGAAGCTGGCTGATGCCGGCATTCTGAGCAGGGAGAACTTGGACAAGTTGGCCAAGGGTGTTGTGAGCGTGGGCGAGCTCTCTCAGAGGGAGGATGTCAAGAAGTACCTGCAGGGCAAGAGCAGCATTGCCGGCCTGCTGATCAAACCCTCCAACCAGAAGATGAGCATCTACGAGGCCATGAAGAAGAAGCTGCTCAGCCCGGGCACGGCGCTGGTGCTCCTGGAGGCACAGGCTGCTTCTGGCTTCATCATTGACCCCGTGCGCAACGCGAGGCTCTCGGTGAACGAGGCGGTGCGGGAGGGAGTGATCGGGCCGGAGCTGCACAACAAGATGCTGTCGGCCGAGCGCGCCGTCACCGGCTATAAGGACCCGTACACGGGTGACAAGATCTCCCTGTTCCAGGCCATGCAGAAGGATCTCATCGTCAGGGACCACGGCATCCGCCTGCTCGAGGCCCAGATCGCCACGGGCGGCATCATCGACCCCGTGCACAGCCACCGCCTGCCCGTGGAGGCCGCCTACAAGCGGGGCTACTTCGATGAGGAGATGAATCAGGTCCTGTCCGACCCCACTGATGACACCAAGGGCTTCTTCGACCCCAACACTCAGGAGAACCTGACCTACCTGCAGCTCATGGAGCGGTGCGTGACTGACCCGGACACGGGGCTGTGCCTCCTGCCCCTCACTGACCAAGCAGCCAAAGCTGGAGAGCTGGTCTACACTGACAAGGAAGCCAAGGACGTCTTCAAGAAGGCCACAGTGACAGCGCCGTTCGGCAAGTTCCAAGGGAAGACGATGACCATCTGGGAGCTCATCAACTCTGAATACTTCACCGAGGACCAAAGGCGGGACCTGATCCAGCAGTACAGGACTGGCAAGATCACGGTGGAGAAGATCATCAGGATCGTCATCACGGTTGTGGAGGAAAGCGAGAAAAAGAGCCAGATGTGCTTTGAGGGCCTGCGGGGCCCCGTGCCCGCTGCCGAGCTGCTCGACAGCAAGATCATCAACAAGGACCTCTACAACCAGCTGCACCAGGGCAAGAAATCCGTAAAGGACGTGGCAGAGATGGAGTCCGTGCGGCAGTACCTGAAGGGCACGGATGCCATCGCCGGCGTCCTGGTGGAGTCTACGGGCCAGAAGCTCAGCTTCTACGAGGCCCTGAAGAGAAGCCTGCTGAAGCCAGAGGTTGCCCTGTCCCTGCTGGAGGCACAAGCTGCCACCGGCTACATCATCGACCCTGTGGGTAACAAGCTCTTCTCTGTGGATGAGGCAGTGAAGGCCGAGGTGGTGGGGCCAGAGTTCCACGAGAAGCTGCTGTCGGCAGAGAAGGCGGTGACTGGCTACAAGGATCCCTACACAGGTCAGACGGTTTCCCTCTACCAAGCACTCCAGAAGGGGCTCATCCCCACCGACACCGGGCTCCGGCTGCTGGACGTCCAGCTCGCCACTGGTGGCATCATCGACCCTGTCAACAGCCACCGGCTCCCGCTTGAGGTCGCCTACAAGCGCGGCTACTTCGACCCAGAGATAAACCAGGCTCTGGCCGAGTTCCGAGACGATGCCAAGGCTTTCTACTGCCCCAACACCCAGGAACACCTCGCCTATGCCCAGCTGCAGAAGACTTGCCACCGTGACAAGCAGACTGGGCTGTGCCTGCTGCCCCTGTCCGACCAGGCGATCCAGTCCCAGCAGGAGGAGGTCTACACCGACAGCCAGGCCAAGGAGTGCTTCGACAAAGCCACCATAGAGGTCCCGGTGGGCAGCATGAAGGGCCAGACAATGACCATCTGGGAACTGATCCACTCCGAATACTTCACCGAGGAGCACAGGCGGGAGCTGCTCCGGCAGTACAAGACCGGCAAAGTGACAATCGAGAAGATCATCAAGATTGTGATCACCATCATCGAGGAGGCAGAGACCAAGAAGCAGGAGAAGCTGACGTTCAGTGGTCTGCGGGCACCGGTGCCAGCCAGCGAGCTGCTGGAGTCCTGCATCATCAGCAAAACGCAGTACGAGCAGCTGAAGGAAGGCAAGAAATCGGTGAAGGACCTCTCCGAGACCGACGCGGTGAGGAGATTCCTGCATGGCAGCGACTGCATTGCTGGTGTCTATGTGGAGGCCACCAAGGAGAAGCTGAACATCTACGAGGCCATGAAGAGGAACCTGCTGAGGCCCAGCACTGCCGTGGTCCTCCTGGAGGCCCAGGCTGCCACTGGGTTCTTGATCGACCCCGTGAAGAACCGCAAGCTGTACGTCAACGAGGCGGTGAAGGCTGGCATCGTGGGGCCTGAGCTGCACGAGAAGCTGCTGTCGGCTGAGAAGGCTGTCACGGGGTACAAGGATCCCTACTCGGGCGACACCATCTCCCTGTTCCAGGCCATGAAGAAAGGGCTGATCGTCAGGGAGCACGGCATCCGCCTGCTCGAGGCCCAGATCGCCACGGGCGGCATCATCGACCCCGTGCACAGCCACCGCCTGCCCGTGGAGGTGGCCTACAAGCGGGGCTACTTCGATGAGGAGATGAACCGGACTCTCTCCGACCCCACTGATGACACCAAGGGCTTCTTCGACCCCAACACTCAGGAGAACCTCACCTACGTGCAGCTGAAGGAGAGGTGCATCGAGGATCCCGAGACTGGCCTGTACCTGCTGCCTCTGCGGGAGCCTGAGAAGCCGAAGGTGGTGGAAACCACTCACGTGTACTCAGAGGCAGAGACGCGGAAGGTGTTTGAGGAGACACAGGTGGACATCCCCGTGGGCAGCCGGGCAGGCTCCTCCATGTCGCTGTGGGAGATCATGCACTCGGACCTGCTGCCCGAGGAGCAGCGTAAGCATCTCATGGAGGAGTTCCAGTCGGGCCGTGTGTCCAAGGAGCGCATGATCATCATCATCATCGAGATCATTGAGAAGACCGAGATCATCCGGCAGCAGAATCTCACGTCCTATGACTACATCCGGCGCCGCATCACAGCCGAGGACCTCTACGAGGCCAAGATTATCTCACAGGAGATCTACAACCTGCTGAAGCAGGGCTCCAAGACCTTCCGGGAGCTGCTGGACGTGGAGACTGTCTGGAAGTACCTTTATGGGTCGGGCTGCGTGGCTGGCATCTACATCCCGTCCTCCAAGCAGACGCTCAGTGTCTACCAGGCGCTGAAGAAGGGGCTGATCAGCCCCGAGGTGGCCCGCTCCCTCCTGGAGGCCCAGGCAGCCACCGGCTTCATGATCGACCCCGTAAAGAATGAAATGCTGACGGTGGATGAGGCAGTCAGGAAGGGCCTGGTGGGGCCGGAGATCCACGACCGGCTGCTGTCGGCAGAGAGGGCTGTGACCGGCTACAGAGACCCATACAGCGAGCAGAAGATCTCCCTCTTCCAGGCCATGAAGAAGGATCTCATTCCCAGCGAAGAGGCCCTCAAGCTCCTGGACGCCCAGATCGCCACCGGTGGCGTAATCGACCCTCACCTGGGCTTCCACCTGCCCCTGGAGGTGGCCTACCAGCGCGGCTTCATCAACAAGGAGACGTACGACATGCTGTCGGAGCCCAGCGAGGTGCGCAGCTACGTGGACCCCTCCACGGATGAGAAGCTCAGCTACACGCAGCTGCTGAAGCGCTGCCGCAAGGACGAGAGCTCCAGGCTCCTCCTGCTCCCGCTCTGCGACACGCGGAAGCTCACCTTCCGGGGGCTGAGGAAGCAGATCACCGTGGAGGAGCTGGTCCTTTCGCAGGTGATGGATGAAGCCACAGCCCAGCGCCTCCAGGAGGGCCTCACCTCTATCGAGGAGGTCTCTCAGAACCTGAAGAAGTTCCTGGAGGGCACCAGCTGCATCGCTGGCGTCTTCGTGGACTCCACCAAGGAGCGTCTGTCCATCTACCAGGCCATGAAGAAGGGCATCATCCGGCCCGGCACTGCCTTCGAGCTCCTGGAGGCGCAGGCGGCCACGGGCTACGTGATTGACCCCATCAAGGGCCTCAAGCTGACGGTGGAGGAAGCCGTGCGCATGGGCATCGTGGGCCCCGAGTTCAAGGACAAGCTGCTCTCTGCCGAGCGGGCCGTCACCGGCTACCGGGACCCCTACACCGGGAAGCTCATCTCGCTCTTCCAGGCTATGAAGAAGGGCCTGATCCTGAAGGACCACGGGATCCGCTTGCTGGAGGCCCAGATCGCCACGGGAGGCATCATCGACCCCGAGGAGAGCCACCGCCTGCCCGTGGAGGTGGCCTACAAGAGGGGCCTCTTCGACGAGGAGATGAACGAGATCCTGCTGGACCCCAGCGACGACACCAAGGGCTTCTTCGACCCCAACACCGAGGAGAACCTCACCTACCTGCAGCTCATGGAGCGGTGCATCACGGACCCAGAGACTGGCCTCTGCCTCCTGCCTCTGAAGGAGAAGAAGCGGGAGAGGAAGACGTCGTCCAAATCCTCCGTCCGCAAGCGCCGGGTGGTGATCGTCGACCCGGAGACAGGCAAGGAGATGTCCGTGTACGAAGCCTATCGCAAGGGCCTCATTGACCACCAGACTTACCTGGAGCTGTCAGAGCAGGAGTGCGAGTGGGAGGAGATCACCACCTCCTCCTCCGACGGCGTGGTGAAGTCAATGATCATCGACAGGCGCTCGGGGCGCCAGTACGACATCGACGATGCCATTGGCAAGGGCCTGATCGACCAGTCGGCCCTGGACCAGTACCGCTCGGGCACCCTCTCCATCACCGAGTTTGCCGACATGCTCTCTGGCAACATGGGTGGCTTCCGGTCGCGGTCGTCCTCAGTTGGATCCTCCTCGTCCTACACCGTCAGCCCAGCCCTGTCGCGGACCCAGATCTCCATGTGGACTGACCCGACCGAAGAGACCGGGCCGGTGGCCGGAATCCTGGACACGGACACTCTGGAGAAGGTGTCCATCACGGAGGCCATGCGCCGCAACCTGGTGGACAACATCACAGGGCAGCGGCTGCTGGAGGCCCAGGCCTGCACCGGCGGCATCATCGACCCCAACACCGGTGACAAATGCACCGTCGCCGACGCGGTCGCCAAGGGCCTGGTCGACAAGATCATGGTGGACCGCATCAACCTGGCGCAGAAAGCCTTCTACGGCTTCGAGGACCCGCGGACCAAGACGAAGATGTCGGCGGCGCAGGCGCTGAAGAAGGGCTGGCTGTACTACGAGGCCGGGCAGCGGTTCCTGGAGGTGCAGTACTTGACAGGGGGCCTGATCGAGCCCGACGCCCCGGGCCGCGTCTCCCTGGACGAGGCGCTGCAGAAGGGCACCATTGACGCGCGGACTGCCCAGAAGCTGCGCGATGTCAACACCTACTCCAAGTACCTCACCTGCCCCAAGACCAAGCTCAAGATCTCCTACAAGGACGCCATGGACCGGAGCATGATCGAGGATGGGACCGGCCTGCGGCTGCTGGAGGCCTCCTCGCAGTCCAGCAAGGGCTACTACAGTCCCTACAACATCAGCAGCGCCGGCTCCGCCTCCGGCTCGCGCTCGGGCTCTCGCACCGGCTCCCGCTCAGGCTCCCGGCGCGGCAGCTTCGACGCCACCGGCTCCGGCTTCTCCATGACCTTCTCTTCCTCCTCCTACTCCTCCTCGAGTTTCGGGCGCAGATACGCGGGGGGTACCCAGGGCACCGTGGAGGTGGCTGCCCTCGCCCTGGCCGCATCCAGAAGCTGCGGGTGGGAGGCGAGCAGGGAGTGCCCCGGGGTGTGCGGGCCCCTGCTCCACGTGGCCTGAGAGCTGCCAGCCCCCCCCGAGGCGCCGCCTCACCCGCTCCGCATGTGGCAACGCTGCTGGCTAATCACTAGTATTTTTTTTAATTTTGAACCTCCACTCTTCTCCCAAAGCAGTGCCTCAAGTTTAACCAAAAAAGACAAGACTAATAAATTAATATATGCGAATGTGCTGACAGTGTTTGTATATTAAGAGACAAGAGAGAGAACACACACTACCCTCCCCACCCCGCGCCCCGGGAGCTGGGCACCGTTCCCGCTCCTGGCTGCGCCCATCCCGCCGCTGCTCGCACACGGCGCGGCCGAGCCGGACACCAGGAAAACAGTTCCCGGTTTGGATCTAACCACTTAGCACTCTTTTGTAATTAACCTGCCGGCTTCAGCCCCCGCGCCCCAAAGGAGGAGACTGCCTTGGCCCCGTGGTGCACCCACCCTGCTGCAGCCGACGTGCCAGAGGAGGACGGTGCGGGCTCCTCGGCACTGGACAGCCAGGCACGCCACACCTGCCCTGAAGCTGCTGCCCGGACCCCTTCCACGCGCCCTCGGTGCGGCGAGGAGGGGGCTCTGCGCCCCGGCCCCCGAGCTGCCCCATCTCCCATCCTCGTCCTCCTGGCACGTCCCCACCACCACCACCACCACCACCACCACGCCGCGGAGCCGGTGGCCCGACCGTAAGTGCCCGGTGCTTCCGCGCCACGCGGGGGGACCCTGCCTCCGCTCGCCACTGCGCCCGCCGAGGGGCCTCGCTGCGTGCCTGCCTCCGCCAGCCCGCCCGCTCACCCGTCCTCCGGGACGCGCCCGCCGCGGCCGGCCGGTCTGTCTGTCTGTCTCTCCGTGTATCTGGGAAGTGCTTCTGCTCGAGGTTGATTTCCTCACACTCCACGACCCGTTGGCAGGTGTCTGCCAGAGCCCGCGCCCCAGCCTGGGCACCCAGGACCCCCCCAGAGCCGCGGGGGCTTTCCTGACCCTCACAAAGGGTACAGGGTGGGCCATGGGATGCTGTAGCAGCCTGGCACACGCTCTTGTTAGAAATAGGCAGATTTCAGTGAAACAGCCTCCTTTTCCTTCTCCGCGCTCATTCCATGCCCTGGCTCTCCGTGTGCCGGCGCTAACGCGCTCTCTCTCTGGCAGACGTCTTTTTCCAGTCCCAACAAAGACCTCCCAGTGCCGCTGGGCGAGCTCCTGAGCTGGGTCTCCGACATCAGCAGGTCGTGGATGGGCTCGAGGGGAGCCCCGGAGGCGGCAGCAGCTGGGCCGTGCTCGCCGGCACAGGTAACGCCGAGCTCCCCGCTCTGTCCCGGTGCCACGGCGCGGCTCTGACGGCCGGGCTTCATTTCATGGGTTGTTCTCCCTGTCTCATCCCATCTTTTCTGTTCGCTTTGTTGTAGTGTGGCTGGATGTCCATACCACATCCCCTCATCGCCGCCGTGGAGCCCGTCCCCCGCCCTGAGGCCGGTGGGACCGCGCCTGAGGACACAGGGACCTTCTCCCTCACCCTTTGCACTTGCCAGAGTCCCCAGCCAGAGACTGGGGCCACAGTGCCCGAGCAGCCAATGGCCCAAGAAGCACCCACAGGGTCACCTGGCCCCCACTCGCCCCACACGCTCCCTCCTCCCCGGGGGTGGCCTCCCAGCGTGGTGTCGGGCTCACTGCGGATCTCCAAAGCATCTCCTCCTTCCCACCCGCTCTCATCTGCCGCCTGTAAATCCAGTCATGTTACCCTCCGCCTCCGGTGTCATTATTGCTCTCATTACCCCGTTTGGCTTTGCATGAGGTGCCACTGCGCGCGGCTCCAGGACAGTCCCCGCTCCCGGGGCCCCCCACACCCCCACCGTCCCTCATGGGGGCACTGGGGGTCCGTGGATTACCCGAACACATCTCTTCTTGGGGGCAAAACACTAAACTTGTACATACGGCCGAGTGTCTGTGAAAGGAGCAGCGCGGAGCCAGGGCTCGCCTGCAAGGGCAGTAAAGGAGAATCCTCTGAAAGCAGCCGGCAGCTCCGCGTGGTCTGTTCGCCCCTTGGCCTTGCCACCGTGCCCGTGGGCTCCTCCCGGCGCCTCCTGCAGCTTCGTGCCCTGGGCTCTGTGCGCTGCCGAGGTCGTGGTGAAGCGTGCCGGGGGGTCTGAGCAGCACCTGGTGCAGGTGCAGCACCTGAGCGCTGGGCCTGGGCGTGCCCTGGGTGCTGCCAGGCACAGAGCGGGGCCGCGGGGTCGTCCCCGGAGCTGCCCCACGCTGGTGGCACAGCTGGGAGCTCAGCGTGGCTCCAGCGCTGCGCCAGTGCCCCCCTGCTTTGGGGAGTGGGTGCCGCTGGTGCTGTGGGGGCTTCTGAGCATCGCTGTGTGAGGACAGAGCTGTCCCTCCGTCCTTGGGGCTCTGGGGACAGTGTCCTCCGTGGTGTTCCCGTGTGTGCTGCCAGTGCCGTGGCCTGTGCCCGGCGGGGCTGTGCTCTGGGCTCCCCCGTTCTGGGCAGTTGGGGGTCCATGGCAGCGAGGCTGAGGGGTGTGAGGTTAAACCTCCGGCTGCTCTCAGGCACCCAACTTGGCGGGTTGGTTTTTTTTTCAACAGCATAAAAACAAATGCCAAAAACAATACCAAAACCACCAGCTCTCCCTAATGCATGTTTTTATATAGAAACTTCTCTACAAACTAAAACACAAACTTAGACCACTACTTCTCAACCTCTTACAGTTCTAGTTTCTTAGTACACCAGACTACGTATAAACTGCACGTGCAGTTTATCTTGTTCTATCTAAAAACTGTAAGCAATATTCTTACTATAGCTTTATTANAGTTGGGGGTCCATGGCAGCGAGGCTGAGGGGTGTGAGGTTAAACCTCCGGCTGCTCTCAGGCACCCAACTTGGCGGGTTGGTTTTTTTTTCAACGGCATAAAAGCAAGTGCCAAAAGCAATACCAAAACCACCAGCTCTCCCTAATGCATGTTTTTATATAGAAACTTCTCTACAAACTAAAACACAAACTTAGACCACTACTTCTCAACCTCTTACAGTTCTAGTTTCTTAGTACACCAGACTACGTATAAACTGCACGTGCAGTTTATCTTGTTCTATCTAAAAACTGTAAGCAATATTCTTACTATAGCTTTATTATGTCTAAAACGATATTCTTTAAAACTTCCACAAACACACTCGTATCTCTTTCAACCTTTTCTAGAACATGTACTACTACACTAATATCTAAGACCCTTTACTCACTAAAAACACTTAAAACCCATTCTGCTTACTTACTTACTTGCTTGCTTATACTAAAACTTAAACTTACATCTCTACTTTATGTGTAAGTAGCTTAACATATCCCAATCTATCCAAAAGCTTTAATTCAGTCTTTACACTTTAATTTCTCTCTGAAAAATTCACAGAGACTCCTGACTTACTAACTCCAACACTGGGAATTCGGGGGGTTCAGGATGGCTCAGGGTGTGATGGCCTGGCTGGTAGGGCAGCAGAGATCAGGAAGGAAAGCCTGGCAAAGCCGGGCAGCAGAGATCAGGAGGGAAAGCCTGGCAAAGCCGGGCAGCAGAGATCAGAAAGGAAAGCTTGGCACACCTGGAGACGTCAGTGCGGCCACTGGCACAGGTGACTCGGGGGGTGTGTCCAGCACAGGGACACAGGTGCCACCAGGCTGGGACTCCCCGAGCAGGAAGGATCATCCCAGAGCAGTGTCAGGAGAGCCAGAGCTGGCAGGACCTGGCAGGACCCGGCAGGACCCGGCAGGACCCCGGCAATGCCCGGGGGCTGGTGGGGTCTCAGCCGGGGCAGGAGCAGCCAAGCGTGTCAGCAGCCCCGGCTGGGGAGGCCGGCACAGATGGCGGGGGTTGGGTGGGACGTTAATTGCTTTGTCCATCAGTAATTAACCGCAGCGTCCGTCTGTCCCCACCAGCAGTGGGAGATGTGGCCGTTAGGGCCGGGGGGACTCGGGGGGGGGGGTCACAGGCTGCTGCAGGCATTGGGGTGGGGGTCGGGAGAGGTCCCAGAACAGCAAGACACTCCCGCAGGTGACACAAAGTGCTGGGGGCCCTGCCCCACCTCACTGCCCCCCCAGATATTCCTTGTGTCCCCCAGGTGTTCCCTGCCCCCCCCCCAGATATTCCTTGCTTACTCCCCAAATTCCTGACTCCTCCCCCAGGGCCAGTAGCCTCTCCTAAAGCTCATGAGGCCACCAGGAGCCCTCTGGCCCATAGCCCAGTCCCACGTCACGGGCTGGAAGCCCCTCACCACCCCCCCCCCCCCGACCCCGGCACTGGTGGGGTCCAACTCTGTTTCCTGGTGAGAAGAGCCCCCCCACTCCCATGGGACTCCCATCCACGTGGGGATCCTGTCCCCCACACCCCTGGGACCCTCCCCGCTGAGCCTGAGGCAGGGGGATCCCCCCGCAGTGCTGGGGGAAGGGGCGCAGGGGGGTGAGGAGGGGGATGCCCTGAGATCCAGGCTGCTCCAGGGGGGAGCCCCCCCCCCCAATCCAACCCCACGCAGCACAGCGTCCCTTCTCCACGGACTCTGCATCATCCTGCGTTCCTCCACGCCGCCCCCCTGCCCCACTGATCCCCCCTGTCCCTCCCCAAGTCCCTCCAGCTGGGAGTGACCGGGCCAAACTCGTCACCATGGAGAACTCCGCGATGTTCCCCATTTTAATGCCCTGCCTGTCACCCTGCCCTGCTGCTGCTGCTGCTGCGGGGGCTGGGGCTGGCCCTCCCCTCTGCCTGCAACTGAGGCTAGGCAGAGCAAAAGTAGTAAAACCGGAATTTATTGAAAGGATAAAATACGCCTTGGGCAGTGCCAGGGCTGCACCCGAATCAAATCCAAGATGAATCCCGGTCACGAGTTTTACACTTTCATAAGTTTTGGTTCATTTACATATTGGGGTCAATCATCCAACCACAGCTCCAGGCTACGAAGTCTCAGCCCCCCTGGATTGCTCCTTTTCCCCTCGCCATTGTTTTTGATTTTTGGGTACTGTCTGTTCTTGATTTTCCAGCTAGAAAGGAATTGTTTTGTCCAACCGCCCCGTGAAGAGAACTCACTGACACCTCACATGAAGTTCCCGAGTTACCCATTGAGCAGCAGAGATTCTGAAAAGCACAAAAGCTAAAACCCAAGGCATCAAAACCGTCCCTCAGCCCTGCGGTGGCACCTGAGGCCCCGAGCGCCCCGGGGGTGTCCCTGGCTCGGTGCCCTCGGGCTGTGAGTGGCAGCACCGCCCCGTCCTGGCCGTGCTCCCTCTCGTGGGACCCGTGGCCGCTGTCCCAGGCGTGGCCGCGGCGCTGCTGGCACCAAGCTCTGCCAGCTCCCTGTGCCCACCGCCCCGGGCGCTGCTGGCTCGGCCCCCGCCGCGCCGGGAACGCTCTGTAC